CAGTCTCCGAGACGGTCTAAAACCCAAATGAAAAAGCTCAGAACAAAACTGACAGGGAGAAGGATACAAGATCCACATACTTTGATTCCTTAAGACCACGGTTTTTCCCTAAAGACCCGATTTCATCACCAAACACTCCGGTTTCTCATTTTATTGAAAGCCACTGCACCGTTCCTCACTCCTGCTGTAGGACCCCTGCATGTCCCATCGCAATCCAAGCAACATTAGCCACACACACAGCACGACGTTATCCTGAAGCCTGGTGGGAGCATCTCGTGTTGGAATAAATAACACATTTTGTGCTCCCCTGGCACACAGAGCACCACTTTACATGCAGGTCTAGAGATCTGCATAAAGCAGGAGCCGAACCACCCCTCCCAGACCACCCCGTAACCTGCTCAGCTAGGAGGAGAACGTGGCAATGGAAACACTTTGCCAATAAGCCCTGGAAGCCCCCACGCTGCTCCGACAGATTGTGGACACACCGGAGAGAAAAATAATAAAAATAAAAAGCACAGCACTGTAAAGGTCACATCTACCGTAGCGCTCTGGATCAACAACGGCTTCTCGCACCTCCCGCCTTGAAAGCGTTGCTGGTTAAGCCATCCATTTCACAGTTCTAGAAAGACAGAGGACCATACGGGGAAGCACAAACCCTTGGAAACATCCAGCAGACACAGCCATCCTCTGCCTGACCTCAGAAATCACGGTCACTGCCTGCGAGCCCGCCTGCCCCAGATCCATCAGCTCCTCCTGCCTCAAATCCTGCGAAGCCCACAGCCCGGCTGCTCCAGAGCCTTCACGTGCTGGACGCCCCCGACAGCCGCCCTGGCTCCTCCAAGAGCGAGTCGTGCGGCCCTTGACTCCCCTCCGGGGGCAGGGAAGGCACCGAAGCGCAGTCGCGCTCTCCTTTGAAGACGACGCGGCAGGCAGAGGCAGGGAACCCTGCCGTCCCTCTATTACTGGGAAATCGCGCTCCAGCCTCGCAAACGCCATTACTTCTGCGTGTCTTATAATTAAATTGTATTTGCCGGTTACCTCACAGCACGGCTGCAATTCTTGTGCATCTGAGGCTTTTTTTTTTTTTTAATTTCTGATCTTCAGCTTCTATTTTATTTTTTCCCCTCCTTGCCAACTCTCAGCAGTTTCAGAACACTCTTCAAGCCGCCTTCCCGCTCGCAAGGCAAGAGGGGGTAGGAGGCTTGCTGAGTGGCACCAGCCCATGCTACGCCATCTCCTCTTGGGCCGGCCACCAGTCCCAAGCTGGAGGAGACCAGAGACGTGAGCAAGGCACCTCGGGTCAGACCCTCACCCACAGCTGAGCCCCCATCTCCTCCTCCACCATCTGAGCCTCCCAGCAATTTGAGCGGGAGCTGAGGGACCCAAGTACCCCAGGGAATCTCGCTCCCAGTGGTGTTACCAAGCCATCACGGATGAGTAACTTGGCCAAGGGAGCAGCAAGGCGAGATTAATCCCAGTCGGAGGTGTGCTCGAAAAAACCCTTCTGTTAAAACTTGCACAAAAAGCTCACGGTGCTAAGACGGAAAGGGCAGCAGGAAAACCGGTCCCTTCCCTCCGCCAACGAGCAAGGCACCAATTACAGGAAGGGGGAGAAAGCCACAAGATTTAAGGGGTTATCTAATCATTGCATTTCCATCCCTTTCTGCAGGAAGGCTGCTTTGATTAAGGTATTGAAGCTTTACAGCGTGCTGGCAGGGAAGGGCTTTGGCCACGCTCAGCAGCAGGAGAAAGGAAAGGGAACGGGCAAATTTCAAGCTGTGGGAGGCTGATTGCTGCCCTGTCCGGCCCACGTTCTTTCAATATCCTGGCAGTAGTAGATTTGGTCCCACCACGAGAAACAAATCCATCACCCAGATTTTGTTAGGCCATGCAGGCATCCTGCTACAGCAGGAGCTGCAGGCTGTGCTACTCCTGTTTCAAATCGGCACCAGTCACCTTGTCTGGGTCCAGAGAAGACACCGAGCACCCACACCACCAGCTGCAGGTTGCAGCATCCAGCTTAAAACTTTAAGCCTGCGACATTTACTTACCTCACTGACCACCCCCGCTCCCCTTTTAGAGCGTTATTGGTTTCCCAATTGACCTGAAAAACTCACAATTTCTGCAACCCATCCTGCTGGCTGGATCTTCACCCTGCG